TACTGCCAAGAGGGGAGAGAGGGTGTGATTGCTCCAGCTATTTCTGGCTGAAGGGGGTTGTAGTTGTGATCGGCACAGATATACTCTGCAGAGGGTCTATCTAAAGGCCCTCAATAGATGCTAGGTGTTCTTGCCATGGGTAGCCGAATAGCTTTAAGTCTGGAGGAGACAAAGACACTTAACACTCCTTTCTCCTGTTCCTTTTTGCTGTGGACCACATCTTTGAGTACGTTTTTTTTTCTTTTAGTAGAAAATCAGTGCCCTTTTGTTGGAGGGGAGCTGGTACCCTGTTAATAAGGAGGGTCTCCAATAGAGAGGACTCCTGTAAGGGCGTCCTGTAAGCCAAGGACAAAGGTTTGGTGTAATTGTATGAGACACCACCAATTAAAGGTCACTAAAACACGCTTTCATCTGCCAGCTTTACTAGGTCCTCCATGTCACTTCTTGCTGGTGGCTGTGTACTTCATCATTCACCTCTATATCCCTCCCCTCAGTGTAGACAGTGGAGCCTGAGAGGATGTGGCTCTGTCATAAGGCGGATAGGCTGTGGTTACTGATAAAGGTTGGTGTGCTTTTGCTTTCTTTCTTACCACTTTATGGCTTCCAGAAACCAGAGCCACAAAGATGAGGGTATGGTACTGAGGCCAGGCGCAGGCTTTGGAGTCAGGTAGACTTGACTTCAAAGCCCAGCTCTTACTTATTCCTGCGTGATCTTAGCTGAATGACTCACCTGCTGAGACACAACATCACTTCCTTTCACCCAGCCTGCTCTGAGGGTGCTGTCACTATTAGGTCTTATTATAATCTTGGCATTGTTAGTGAAAAAGTCTTTATTTGAGGATTTTCAACTTTTCCATAACTAAAGAGCCAGCCCTAGATTTGGATATTGGTTGGAATCGTTTGACCTAACAGAGTTGCTGAGGATCAGGGAGATACTGTTTATAAAAAAAAGCACCTGCTGCTTAAGAAGCCGTAGTTTCTCTTCCTTTGAGGACAGGTATATATTGGGCCATCAATCTAATAAATATCCTTCCCACCTGCCCTGTCTTTTCATTGCTTTATTACCACAATAATCCAGATGTAAGGGAGAAAGTATGAACTCTGTGCTGGAGTAATAAAGATAAAGAGAGGGTCTTTGTTTTTATTTTCCAAAAAGGTCACATAAGAAAATAGAAAAATTTGATGCTTTAGACAAACCTATAAAATATCTTGCTTTCTTTTATTAACAGTAGTGGTAGTGTTGGCCACATTTAGGAGGAAACGCAGAACTCTAAAAGGCTGACAAGTGAGTATAATCTTTACTCTTCAGAATTTTTAGAGATGTGACAGTAAAACCTTGAAACCATAAATATTTGGTAATATAAAACATCGAACATTTCTGCTTGCAAAAAATAGTGAATAAGATGAAAAGATAAACATCCAACTGGGAAAATATGTGTAAATATAGAATAAACAAGGCTATTTTCCTAATACACAAAGATCATTTAGAGTATTAAGAAGATAATATTTTTAAAAGACAAAAGACACTAATAAATGATTCACAGAAAAAGGAATTCAAAAGGCCAATCTTTCAAAATGTTAACTTAAAGAAACCAAGTTTAAAACATGTGCCAGCACTTTCACCTAGAAGATTGGCAAAGATTAATTGCTATCTACATAACATAAGTGAAGCATGTCTGTTGGTCGGTTTGAGTAGAAATTGATGAGAACTTTTTGGAAGATAATTTGGCAATATCTTCTAAATTAAAAATACATCCTCAGCGCTAGCAATTCCCTGTGTTTACAAACTGTACCTAAGGACACCAAGAAAATTAGAGCATGTGGAGAAGAAAGAGGTGTTTGTTTTTCATTTTGTCTACTTGTGTACTGTTTGAATTATTTATCAGGTGTTTGTATTTTATTATTTTTTTTAAAAGTTAAAACTTTTATCCAGAGATAATAGCATGCTTAGCAATCAAAGAAACCTCACCACTGATCTGATAGTTTCATCAAAATCCCATAGATGGTACTCAAACATTTTAATAAATGAACTATCAGTGGGCAAATTCAGCATGAGATAGTTTCCTCATAAGTTGCCTCAAACACCAGATACTTACAGAATGTTCTGTCTGACTATAATACTGGGCCCTCTGCTATGTAGTTTTGTCCTTTCTTGAGAAACCTGCCCTTGGGATGTTGTTTTCCTGTGCCACAGTCTTTATCCTGCTCTCTCTCAGATCTGCAAATGTGTCTGTCCTCCACAGCCCATCACATCTTCATATGAGCTCTACTCTGGGCTTCTGGGATGTCCTGGAAAGTTCTCAGTGGAAGAAAATCTTGAGCTCCCAATAGCAGTAGGTAGGGATTGGAGTGACCAAAAAACTAGGAGAGAGGAGTGACGTAGAATAATGGAAACAATACATATTGTTAAGGATGTTAGCTATTTGTTGATGGCTTACTACAGAGATGGCGAACTTTTAGAATTCTCAGGGATACGAATGGCCGGCTTCAGCATGTATGCCATAGGTTTGCCACTACTGGCTTACATTATAAATGCCTAAGGACACATATACATATTTAATATTTTCTGTATTTCATGTGTGCCTCACTACTGTTAGGAGAATTTGGTGTTATGAATTGTGTTCTATAGGTAAGATGACATCCCAGAGAGCCTTGTGTGAATGGCGCATAGGTAATGAAACAACTGAGCTGGAAGCCATGAGGCTGGCCCACAATTTCTAAAGTCCAGCGCTTCACCACGGCTTTATGACAGGCTGCCGTGCGCAGTGTAGATGTAGGAATGATGAAGGCGAGTCTGTTCACTTCCCTGAGCGATCACCTTAAGATTTGTGGAGTCATGATGCTGGGCCCGCCTCAGATTCTGGGTTCAGATGGAGGCAGTCCTTGGCTGTGGTAGTTGTCCTGTGTTTGTAGAGGGGGTACTGGGCAAAGGGATGTTGTTCCAGAGGAGTCTGGCATTTCTGGGAATTTTCAGCAGTCCTTTATTATTTGTCATTTCCCTTCAGTCCACCAGAAAAATATGGGAAAACCACATTTCTGATAGAGCTGTGCCATTCCAGTGAACCCAGCTGGGTTAGCCTTGGATGAGAACCAAGCAGGGATGGCCTGGCTACCTCAGTCCTCTGTTCACTGATTCAGCAGCTCATGTGTGTCCTGGTCCTCAGCGTGCTGATGAGGCAGTTCATCTTTGATTTTCCTTTTCATCCCTCATGACAACCACCACATAGCATTTCCTGGAATCTGGCTGAGGTCCCACTATGAGGGAGGTTCAGAACCGGAGTGTCTGGAAAAGTCACCCGTGGCCATGGCTGGGGTGAGTCTCCCACCATGGTGGGTTGGTGTTGCTTTAGTGAGCAAGCAACTGTGATGACTTGTGGGCCGCCCCCAGCTACCAGGCAGGGAATGGGAAATTAGTGATCCTCTCAGAAGAAAAGCTGAAGTCAGTGGAGCTGATTCCTGTGTTGGATTTTCTTGGGTAGATGTTATAGTCTTCTGCCATTTGAGCCTGGGAGACTCAAGTGTAGGTGTGGGGCAACATTTGCTGGATAGACAACCTGGATAGAACCGATCTCGCACTTACTGAATGTGTCTTGAGTTCTTGGTACAAATCTGGCTGCTTGAGGCCCATTATCTGACAATCTTCTCCCTCACAACAACTCTGTGAAGTATGCTGTTCCTATTTTAGAGATGTGGCAGTTGAGATTTAGGGCCCAGGAACTTGTTTATGCTACAAAGGAGTTTTGCATAAGTAATATGGGCTTCATATCCAGTCACCTAGTGTCACCTGACACCTGGCTGTGTGTACAGGTGAGTCCTGAGGAATCTCCAGTGGAGGAGGTCTGCTCCAGGTTTCCTCTCGGCGCTCTCGAGACTGGATTGTGTTGCCATGGAGATAGCAAGATGTGGCTTTTCTTAGGACCATGGGGCTAAAGGTGATGAGGAGACCTGGATCCAGAATAAGCCCTTTAGTTTATGTAGTCAGAGCCTATCCCTGGATCTACATTTGGCCTTATTTCAGTGGTAGGCCTCCACTGGTGAGGGGTTGAATGCTGACATGCCCCCAGGTGAATCCCTTGGGAAGTAGTAACCTCGTGTCTAGAGAAGGTGTTCGGGCAGCCATTACCAGTTGAGGTTGTGGTGTGGACGAGCTGCCTCCTGTCCTTCGCCTTGCCCGCCCACCACTCACTTGCCAGCCATAGCCCTCTCTGGGCTCCACACCTCTTCAGCACTTTCATTCTGTGCCATACAATGGGGCATTTCCCTGTCGCTGGCTGTTATTGTCCTGAATCTGGATGTTTCCTGTCTGCACTGCTTATTTCCTGGTGTGAAGGAACTCTTATTTTCCTGGTGTCTATAGAACTTTTGAGGAGTCCCCTTTCTTTCTCACCCCCTCATAGCTCTGTGGCTCAACTAAGCAGTTGAGGGTCCCAAATCTTGTCATATACTCTAGGGTCAGTATCCTCTTCCTGTCTAGTAAGTCTGAGCTCTTTGGGGCAGGGGGCTGCAAAGTTTACTTGGTAGGTCCCTGAGTTTATAGCCAGTTGGATCCCACTTCATTCCATCACGTGAAACTCATCCCTTTGTAGAACATTGCCATCATAGTATGAAAATATTAAAAGTCAATTTTGGACAGAGGTCACAGTTTGGCAGCAGGTCTGGGGCAGACAGATCCACAGAGCAGTAAGCTTGCTGGAGCCCAGGAGCTCTATGAGACTCGCTGAAGGAGCTAAGGACCTAGTCTGTGAGAGGGTGAGTGCCTTATTGCTGGATGTGAAACTGTCCCATTGTTGATGAGAAGTAGAAAAGTAATGTGAAAGTGTTTAGCATTAAGAAAACCAGACATAAATATGTGTAGAAAAAAAATCCACTGATGACCTTCTATTACCCACAGATGACCATTGCTTATGGAAGGACTCAGGGTTTTAAGTTGTGATTTGTCTCTGGGAAGCAGCTTGATCTTGTCTTTCCTAAAACTTTAATGGTCCTTTCTTTTTCTACAGAACATGGAGAGTTCCTTGCCCTGGACCTTGGAGGGACCAATTTCCGTGTGCTCTGGGTAAAAGTAACAGACAATGGACTTCAGAAGGTTGAGATTGAGAACCAGATCTATGCCATCCCAGAGGACATCATGCGAGGCAGTGGCACTCAGGTAGGATCCTTTTCTCAGGAAAGGTCCTGTTCTACAAATACCTATGTTCTTTTTGTACCTTTTCTTCTGCTCTTGACCCATGGAAAGATGAACCATCGAGACATTCCTGGGTACTAGCAGAGCTGGAAAGACTCATGTCAGCTGGACTTCTGGCTTTTCCTGCTAGATTTTATACCTAATGGGATATGATAATAAAAGGAATGAGTGGAGGAGAAAGATTGATGCAAGATGCCTTCCTGGCATTGTTGTGTCATGGGTCTCAGGGCTTAGGAGAAGTAAAACGTTTGTTTTTCCATTTGCTGTTTGTTCCTTCCAACCAGGCCATTCCTGGGAAAGGAATTTCTGATTATGAGCAGAGCAAGTAAAAGATATTTTTTAATCCTTTGTCTTTGGGAATGGCCTTGAGAGTAAATCTGCTGCTTTCTTGGTTTTAATACTGGCGTGGGAGGAGGAGGCTGTATCCTAGGACAGTGTATTTCATGGCTCCAGTACAATGTCTAGAAGGACATAGAGGGGCGAGGCTCTTCCATTGTCTTCCCCCATATCTTGCCATGTGGAGGTGCTGAAGAGGTTGTACCTGTACTCAGTAGTCTGGCTGTGTGATTCTGGGCAAGTGAAAGCATCCAGCAGAGCCTAGTTTTATCCATCCATAAAGAGATAGACTATAGAACCTAGATTGTGGTGAGGATTAGAAGAGGATGCCTGTTCAGGATTTTGCACAATGCCTAGCACATGAACTGGTACTCGTACCACTTTTCCTTAGGAGGTTTTGTCTGTTCATCAAATTGCTTCCTCGTATTTCTTCTCCTGGTCTCTGTTGCCAGTCATTGCTCCATTCCTCATGATGGCAGATGTGGTCACCTTTTTTTTCCTATTGCCTCTACAGTGGACCTTTGAGTTATGAACTCAGTTTGTTTTGTGAGGGCTGATTGTAACTCAAGTTGGTCAGTTGAAGGCCTAGGCTCCTTTGCACAGCCTTCAAAGTCTCCTAAATACAAGCAGATTTCACTATCTTTAGAGAGACATTGGCCCAGGATTTCTCAATTAACCCCACACAGGAAAGGATGTTGTCATGTTCCTTCCAGAACTCTCTAAGGTTTAAATCTATATCTGACACCATCTGGAAGCATAAGTAGTCGGCTTTTACATTGTAATTCAAGACTTTGTTCCTAAGTTAAAACTAAAATTCTGGTTGTAACCCAAGTTGTTCAGTTCATATGTTGGGCTGATCAAGGGTCCACCCCAACCCCAGATTACAAATATTTGAGAACCAAGTAAACAAGACAAAACCAAAAAGTTTCTCTGTGATTGTGAAAAAGACTTGCAAGGTGAAGATCACACACGGGTCAATTTTTATCTCTTCTCCATGGCCTCTCTTTCACTCTTCAGTTTGACTCGAAGGGTCGAGGCAGCTCAAAGCCTCTGCAGCAAGTGGGTTCCTCAGAGTTGGACTAGGTCTGTGGACAGGCAGATGGGTCTCTGGCAATCCAGAGAGGAAATTCATTTCAGACATTCAAGATTTCAGTAAAGTTCTTTGAAAAACTTTAAAAATCCTTCAAACCCCACCCAGTTAGAGGGTATAGAGAAAGGTAATTCTCTCCATCCCTGTATCCCCCCTGTTTTGCAGTCTAGGGATTGAACTCAGGACCTTGAGCTTGCAAGGCAGCTAAATCCCTGGCCCTCTGTTCTCAGTACATTATATAACCAAAATGTTTTGGTTCAAATAAAAAATAGAAGAAAAGAATAAAAACGATGATGTCTACCTGGAAGAAATAAATGGCATTATTGGGATATTAGAAAGATTTTGAATAAATGGGAAAAATCCTATATAACAGTGAAACAGAAAAACCAGAAGACAATGTACACAGGAGTCTGTCACCCTGAGAAGGAGAAATAATACTATATGCCTAAAAAGAACAAAATATTTTGAAAAAAAATAGAAATGCAAAGGAGCTATTTTAGTGATAATTACTAGTACAAATATATTTTTGCATATTGGTTATAAATATTTTAATTAAAGGAAAACATGGATTTAAAAGATGGGATTTAGTTAAAACCAAGACCAAAACCACCAAGGTCCAAACTTGCAAAAGGTCTTGAACTGAGAACCCAGGCAGTGTATGGGTCCCACGTTAAAAACCTGTCTTCTGGCACATTGATTTTCATTTCAGAGCGGTGGGTCACAAACTGAAAGAGTAGCTACATAAGAGTTTTACGGTGTATCTTGTAGGAAGGGAAATGGGCAGATCCTCAGACAAACAAGGAAATCTTTCTAACTTCTTAAAATGATGCCCTTTGAACCTTTTTATGGCAGGAAAGTATTAGTTCTTTTTCCAAGCATCTTATCCTTAGGTTTTCAGCTAACAGACTGAACCTTCCAGTTCAAGGAAACAGATGGTCTCCTTTTTAAAAAGGTGGAAGTTCTTTGAACCTAGCACCAGTAAAGGGATATTTGGACAGTGATAGTCATGTTCACTAGTTGTCTCATGCAATATGGTAAATGTCAGCCACCTGTGACATTAAGCACTTGAAATGTGGCTAGTTTGATAGAAAAGCTGAATTTTAATTTTTAAAAGTTCTGCTGGGCATGGTGGTACAGCTTGTTTTCTCAGTGGCTCAGGAGGATGACAGGAGGGTCATAAATTCCAGGCTGGCCTGGACAAGTTAGCCAGGACCTATCTAAAAAGGCTGGGGATGTGGGTTAGTTAGTGGGAAGGCTTTTTGGGTTCAATTCCCAGTACTGTTAGACAAACAAATGCATTAAAATAGTCACAGATGGTCAGTAGCTACTCTGTGGGCAGTATTTAGGGCTTCTTTCCTGACCATTTTCTTTACCTCCACCCATTAGGAGTGCATCTAGAGAGGGCGTAGGGGCCAGGGCTGGTGAGGGGAAGCCTTCTCAGAAAAGGAAAGTTTTCTGCTTTCTAAGGGTCCTTCCACCTCAGACTATTGCTTTACTTTTTTTGCACAGTTTTGGCAACTTCCTTTTTTTAAATTTTTGTAATAGAGCTAAGTTTGACCAGTCAATAAGAAGATGCTATGTATTTAATATATAAATATATCCTTCAATTTGTCTTCAGCTTCCTAACAAAAGACTAGAACTCACTGGTTATCTTTCTAGAAAGCTATTTACATATTAAAATTTGTCAAAGGAGCTGGCCCATGTGTGTGGGCAACCCCTTTGGTAAGAGAGCCCTGCCTTAGTTTGGCACTTGAGGATGTTTTATTTTGGAGGTTGAAGCTTCGTTCAGGTCCGCTGTAGTTAACTTTGCAGGGGATCAGATAGAGGAACAGAAACTGAAGCAGGAGCTCAGTTAAAGCTGGCCACCTCCCAGACTAGTCTGGCCCTGCCTTCCTGGGCCCCTCCCCTTGACCATACTTACCTAGGCACCAGGTGTCAGTGGGGCTGTCAGCCTCCCTCCCCCAACCTCTTATTTTCTATGTAAATGCAAATAAGGTTCTGTAGTTTGTACAGCATCAGATCACCTGGTGGGTTTGTTAACAGATTGCTGAGCCTCCCAGAGTTTCTGCTGGGGGGGGTATCATTTATATTTTTAACCAATTCCCAGGTAATGACAGGGGTGCTGCTGGCCCAGGATTAGCACTTCCCCTTTTCTGGCTGTGGATATTGCTACCTAGTCAGCTTGGTCCTTGGAATCTGAACAGGATCTTTGGCCTCTGATTACTTTCTGTACGAGAATGCCCTTTCTCTCAGCTTCTTGGCATCTGGAGAAGCACCAATTTCTCTCTGAGGGTGTTGAGTGAGAGAGAAAGCAGCTTGGGGACAGTGGCCTCCAGAGCTGGTCTGAAGCCTGGATTATTATAAACAGCTTTCTCTAAGACCTAGGAGCATTGGGTCCTGTTCAGCATGGCCACAGTTGTGAGTGTAACCCACCAGTAAAAACCGTATGCGGCAGTGCTCTTCATAGAACATTGGTCTTCCTTCCTGGAGTGAGAAGAGGGCTGATTTGAATTGTCCCCAGGAGATTCATTTTCTAGAATGGAGAAATATAAAAGTTGCTCATTTTCATTAAGTTGGTTCATAGAATGGGAACAGAGAAAGAGCCATTTCTCTCCCAGTCACGAGAGTCAGGGATGCTAAGGTACTTCTTGGTCGTGAGACGGGCTTTGCTTTCTGTAGGATAATCAGCTGGGCATCTGTGATAGAATTATCAAACATGCTCATTTCTCAGGGGCTGTGAGGACTCTGATAACTTTGGTTGTGATTCCCCCAGCCCACACGGTTATTTTGACAAAAACTCGGGAGATACCATTTGATGAGTATGAAGTGTTAAGCCCTTATATGTACTGAGTCATTTAACTCTTTTGATAACCCTGTGAGAGCAGGTTCAGTTATCTTTCCCATTTTATAGATGAGCAAATGCAGACATCAGAGGATAGGATAAAGATCTGGTGCAGCCAGTTTCTTTCTGAGTCAAAATCCTTTCTCCTAATCTGTGCTTTTCTTTCTTCCCACTCATCTTCCTGTGTTACTTGCCCTTAGCTGTTTGACCACATTGCTGAATGCCTGGGCAACTTCATGGATAAGCTACAAATCAAAGACAAGAAGCTACCGCTGGGCTTTACCTTCTCCTTCCCCTGCCACCAGACTAAATTAGATGAGGTAAGAGGGTTCTCCAGTGTTTTTGATGCGTTGTTCTTCAGGCTGGGAGGACTCCTGAGCTACTTGATTCTGTGGCATTAGTGACAGCACTGAAGGGTTGGGCAGACATTTCATTGTTGAGAGCTGATACTTTGTGTGGGTGGGAATGTGTGAAGACATATGGGATGTGCCCTTCTTGCCTTCCACATGCTTTTAAGAACACTTCTTATCTAAAGTACTATAAGAAAGACCCCTGTAATAAAAATGCTTGGCAGTTGATGGTGTGAATCTGTGAATCTCTTATTTTGGCAGTTTATAACCTGCTTTTTCCCCTTAGGGGCAGAAAGAATCATTCATTTAATCTCTTTTCCTAGTATGAAGCCTGAGTTCACTTCCCAGTCTATGGATTCAATGACTTTAGCCCACTGGGAGAGGTCTCTGCTAATGAAGACTGGTGGAGGAATGTGGTCTGTGTTTTAGTTGTGGGGACTCAATATTCATTCCTTGGTCCTTTCTAGAGTTTCCTGGTCTCATGGACCAAGGGATTCAAATCCAGTGGAGTGGAAGGCAGAGACATTGTGACTTTGATCCGGAAGGCCATCCAGCGGAGAGGGGTAAGTGGGGCAGGTGCTTGGGGTCTGCAGGTTCTGTTGGGCCCACTCTGAACTCTTTCACTGTCTGTCCTCACACTCAACCTGAGAAGGTTTGGAGAAGTTTGCTTCTTCTCTGTTATGCTATGTTTATCCAGGCACTTTTGAGATGAGCATGATGGACAGTAATCTTAGTCTTAGTGTGAGGAAAAAACCCTTCGGTTCTTAACCATAAAGAAGTCTTGACTATCATCTTCAAGTAAGAAAGTTGGTATGATGTTGAGATGAAGGTGAAACAGGGCAGAGAGAGGACAACATAAAAGTCTATCGTAGGAGAGAGAAAGAAAAGGAGGAAGAGAGGGTGAAGGGAGAGAAGAAAGAAAAGAGAACAAAATGAGTTGTTCTTAGTGCAGTGATGGCTCCAAACGAGAATATAGAGATTTTGTCGGGAAAATTGTCCTCCGTGATGGAGACAACTGGTGGGAGTGAGCGTGTGCTCTTTGACTGACTGGGTCTAGGCCCAGATTTCCAGCTCTCATCTTTGGCTCTGCATTGGGCTTGATAAAGGGTCATCCCTGTTACCCCTGAGCTGTGTATTTTGCTACTGTTTCTCTGTCTTCACATTTGTGTCCTTTCTCTGATAGCGAGTCATCTCTTTGATCCCACAGGACTTTGATATTGATATTGTGGCTGTGGTGAATGACACAGTTGGGACCATGATGACCTGTGGTTATGATGACCAGAACTGTGAGATTGGTCTCATTGTGGGTGAGTGACCAGTATGAGGGTAGTACAGTCCAGTGCCCAGTGCATGGTGGGTGTGGGCTACAGAGGAAAGTGCCTGGATAGTTCCTTGTATTTCACATTTGATGATAATGATGCAGTCACTTTGGAGGGGAAGAAGGAGGAGATGAAGTGGGGAATGACAATGGAAATAGGTGGTGACTGGTCCCTTGTTCTGGCCAGGCACTGGCAGCAACGCCTGCTACATGGAGGAGATGCGCCACATCGACATGGTAGAGGGCGACGAGGGGCGAATGTGTATCAACATGGAGTGGGGGGCCTTTGGAGACGATGGCACACTCAATGACATCCGCACTGAATTTGACCAAGAGATCGACATGGGCTCGCTGAACCCCGGGAAACAATTGTGAGTGTCCCTCCCTGTGTGGGTGGTGTGGGGCAAGGCTGGAAGCGGGGCTGGGGCCGGCTCAGGATAGGGACTGGTTTTCATGTCATCTTTTAGTATTAACATTATATGGAAAAGGTTGCCAAGGTACTACTGATTAGGAGACTGTGACCGTAAATCTCTGACAAGGCTCTGAAATCAATAGAGTGGATAAACCAGATCATCCTTCAGACAGTCACTTTTGAAGGTCATAGTCTAAGTGTGTGACCTTTGTCTTTCACCCTTATACAGTGGACCCTCGCCTTAAGGACTCAGTTGATTTGCAAAGGCTGGTTGAAATTCAGGTTTGTCAGTTGAAGGCTCACTCTCCTCTACACAGCCTTCAAAGTCTTCTCTTGTATACAGGCAGATCTCAGTGTCCTTAGAGAGACATTGGCCCAGGATTTCTCAATTAATGCCACACAAGAAAGGATGCTTTAATGTTCCTTCCAGAATGCTTTAGGGTTTAAATCTGTATTTGAGACTATTTGGAAGCACAAGCAGCTGGCATTCGAGTTGTAACTCAAGACTTTGTGGTTGTAAGTTAAAGCTGAAATTCTGGTTGTAACCCAGGTTGTTTGCATGTCAGGCAGTTCATAATTTGAGAGTTTGCTATATTTATAAATTTTTCGTAGAACCTGTGAGCAACATAGAAAAGTCTAGAAAAGTCTACATGGTCAAGATTGGGATCTCTGGAAGCCTCTTTGGTAGCTCTCATTGCATCACTGCCTCAGAAGGTGAGGCTGGGACAGGTGGCTGCTCATTTCTCGTCCACAGAGTCCTGGGGCACCCTGAGTGTTATACACTGCAGCCTGATTAGACTTGGTACTTTTTTTTTTTTTTTTTTTTTTTTTTTTTTTTGGTACCGGGGATCAAAA